CTCTTGAGGAAGATGGTAAGGGTTGTCTATGACTTTCTTGATTTTACAAGAAAGTCATAGACAACCCTGCGTCATCATCTTCAGAGGTCTAGATAAAAAAATAGCAGTCTAAAGAAAAAATAAAGAGCTATTCTGTCAGTGAGCATTTGGGTCTGTGACATCACAAGAGGTGCCAGAATGGAGCTAATCAGTCGCCATCAGTGAATATAACAAAAGAAAAACTCTGAAGTATTTGAGAGAGAAAAAAAAAAGGTTCAGTCTTACATACTTGTGCCAGAGATTGACTCGGGGAAGAAAAATGACAGTGATTGTTTTCAGAGCTTATAGTACAAATATATTTATGTTGACTGGTTTCTGGGCACATTTACAAATAACTCAGACGTTCATTGCAAATAACTATTTGCAATGAATGAATTAAATATTTTTCCATATGATGACAAACTACATCTAACGCAAGTTTATTTTTTTGCCCAAAAAAATATGCCAAAAACATTTTGTCTTTCACAATGCATATAAAAAAATGCAGACAATTTGTATGGGTATTATAAAACTTTATTGTTCATTCTCTTATTTTTAACCCTTCCCAAACAATGACAGTAAACGCAGAAGGAGAAAAGGGGCACAGACAACATAACCTCCTTGGACCTTCTGAAAATATTGATCATTAAGAAAATAGAATAAATCAACACAAAAAGTCAGTTCACCAATGAGAAGAAAGCTTTCAATGGTCCTTGAAATGTAATATGCATATATTCTGCCCCAAGTATGCACACCTGCATGAAAAAAAGTACTATTATACAAAACCTTGAGAGCTTATCTGAAAATGAATGATAAATAAAAAGGTAATTTCTTTTGATTTTATTACTGTCAATATTGTAAGTGTGAATAAATATCTTTTTTTACCACAAAGATCAAAGCTTCCATTCCATTAAAAATGTTCCAATTATAATTTTTAATTTTGTTTTTATTAATATGAAGCTGGAAATCAAAAATCCAACAAGCGCCGGAAGTTTAAGGGAACAATTACTCTTTACAGTTGATTCTCACCAGACAGAATATGCAAAGAGGAGGGAAAAGCAGACATGATGTCTAGAAGAGGGCGTTATAGTCAGGTAGTGTCTCTCAGGTGTGTAGAACTGTTCTGGTGCTGCTCCACTGCTTCTGCTCTTTACATTTGATCTCTGAGCTTGGCAAGCCTTTGAGACAGTTCGTCCTACGAACAAGCAGCAGGTTGAAAAGAGTAAAGATGAGAGCATATTTTACATTTAGCTTAACATTTATGAGTGGCAATCATATTACAATTTAGTTTTCTTATAAAATAAGCAGTTCATTGTTTAGATTTAACAAGCAAACATGACAGAATACCTGTTCTGCAGAGGCTACGCTCGTACCCACAGATCCTGTCTGTCCTTGAGGGAGTTCCATGTTCAAGTCCAATCTGAACAGAAAGCAAAAGCTTACCATTATATACAGGCCTGTCATAATAATCAATAAATGAACTAAAACAAACTCAATTATTTTCATTGGCATTTCTCTTTTTTTCGCTCTTCCTACCAAAAACCGAATGATAAAAGTCTTCAGTTTGGTGCTTTTTTTTTGAAGGACAATTTTGTTTACAAAGACATAAAAGTGTATTTTATTTGTTGTGTTGTTTTGTTTATTTTGGATATTTAAAATGTCTTCCAGTTCCAGTGTTAATTAGAATTTGAAGTTTATCGACCTTTTAGAATGTGCTCTTGCATTATTATTATGCCATTACCATTATATTACTCAAAAGTAGTTTCAAAACAACAATGTTATTGTTTATCGCAATTATTTCTGGAACAATTTATTGCGATATATTTGTTGTTTCGACAGGCCTAATTATATTCATAAACATCCACAAATAACATCAAAACATAATATATCACTGATAAAATTAATGAATACAATGTGATTTAATTTATCTGACAAAAAATATTGAGTGGTTACCCTGCTTCGTCTGCCATTTCATGCAGCAATGACTCCACTTGATTCTGTAACACACGTTACATATTACATTCATGCAAGCAGTTCTTAAACGGACCGTGAGAAAAAGCTGAGCCGAGAAAGTCACCTGTGGTGTTGTGAGAGTCGTCGTGCTGCTCATGGTGTCCTCCATCTGAGCAGTCTGAACGTCCAGAGTTTCAAACTGATGCTCAAATTTGTCCATGAGAGCTGAAATCTACAACAAAAAAAGCACCGCCAAAGATTAAAATTTGTTACTTTCATTGAATGCATGAATTTATGCCATTTAGTTAGAGATACCTTTTCGAGATTCATACTCTTCAGAGTGGCATCCATGCCTTTCACCACTCCAGCCATAGATTTTGTGACCTGTAAGATGAAACCAAAGAAAAAGCTGCCATTATTTTGTCACATGGATGTGGAGACGTTGACTGAAGCAGCGTGCGGCGCACCTGGTTCATTGTAACCGCCGTCTGGACTCTCGCCGCCACAGCGTCGACTCGGGCGCTCATCCTCAGGAAATTCACAGACTGATTCTTCTGTCTGATGGCGTTCTCTGCATGGATCCTCGCCACTTCCATGTTCCCCTTCTGGATGGCCTGAAGACAACAAAAACTTTGATGAAGCTCTCAATAGCCGATGTTGACAGCTGGCCTGATGAGTGAAACACAACTTACCTTCTTGACTTTTGCCTTCTCTAATTTCTCCTCTTTGTCACATTTCTTTGAATTTCTTTGGAGCTCTTTGGCAGCAAACTTTAGATTGAAGAGATTTTCTGAGAAACAAAGTTAAAGAACAGCAACACAAAGCAGGAGGGCCAGCAGAAAGAAATCTCTCTTTTATTGATTGCTCTGACCACTGATTAGGCCACCTGAATCTAAAATCTCAAATTTTGTCCCATCACTGAAAGCAACAAAATAGGCTAAAAGAGGTCGGACTGATTATTTACATTATGTTGAGAAAGCTAGCGTGACAAAGCTAGTTTCAATCTGCAAACTGTGAATTCAGCAATATCCTCAGCCTTAAGTAAGAATCTTATTTTTAAGAATCTTATCTGAAGACGTCCTTCCTGTTCTGGCAACTTAAACAAATAAAATGACTGAATGAAAATACAGTTTTCTCTTAAGAAGCTTCTTATAAGTTTAGTTCTTTATGTGAATTAACCTTCTAACAGTTCACCGATATTGAAAAAAATCTAACTTTGAGGTTCCTTTCTTCTTTGTCAACTTCCTCTCTAAGTTTATTTGTTGTGATCTGACAAAATTATAAGTTTGAGATGTAAAGCAAAGTTTTAAGGTCTGGTAAAGAACAGATTAATTTGTATACATTTTCTGTCATAAAGTGACGTTTCTAATGTTTCTAATTGTATTTATAGATTAGATATAACTTTGGACAGTTTTTGTTTAAATAAGTGTTTTCCGTCTTAATTTTAATTCTAATGTATCCATTTTATTCCTAGGGCAGGTCAGGTTTCAATTAATCAAGAAAGTCAAGTTAAACATCTCTGATCAGTGCATATTTATATTGTTTCGCAGCGTCCACTATGACATCATCCAGCTCTCCATAATATACAGCATTACGTTATCTGTCCACAAGAGAGCACAATTAGGTGATTTCCCAACTGAACAAAAACTGCTTTATCGTCTTTTCTTTTAAATAAAATGAATGAGAACAAATATGTTTGAATTTAGTGAAAATAAACCAACAAACCCCGACTTACCCCATTAAATTCTTATATGCCAGTTTAGGAAGAATCTGAGTAACTGATTAGTAACTGGGTTATCAGTAAGTCGTTTATACCCAAAAGTAATAAGCCAAGTTATTACTTTGACCTAAAATTCACACATTTTCAAAAACTATTGGCTTATAGCTTCGTTTTGGTAAACACAAACACAAGCTCGTGTTTACTATCTATTTACAGGCTTTTATGTGGTTCTCAAAAATATAGCGTTTACTATATAAAACAAATAAAAGGATATTACAGGTATCAACCAGAACTGTTGTAGGGAAAACTATAGAAACCACACGATTCAGCTTTGGTGTCAAGTTTTATGTTTTCCGATGTTAGCATAGAGGCCTTAAACGCAGCTCTGCCAAAGGTTACAGACGCCTGGAGAAATCCAGTAACGTTCAACTTATTAAATAGGCTACTTTATTAAACTCTCACTAATGCCCGATACGCGTTGTGACGTCTCAAATGTCAGTGACAAATAAATCTCGTAATTTAAAGAAGCTACCGTGTTGCTATAAACGCTTTAGCCGCTGCCTTCTCTGTCGTTACGTCGCACTTCTCTTCCGTTTTCACCGCTTTTAAAGGATACTTTCCATACTCGGCATCTTTAATGCTTCTTCGGAGACCCAGCAATGAAATTATCGAGAAAAAATCCACAAATAAACGGGTCGAAAATAAAGAAAAAAGCTGTTGAACGTTGCACTCCTCTGTTTAGGCAGTGTCGCCCTCTTCCGCACTTCCTGGTGTCTTACCAAAATATCAACTACGTCACTGTCACGTGGTGTAGGTATTCCACTCGAACGTCACGAGCGAGATGCCCCCGCCTCTTTCGGCCGAATGTGAATGAAAATGTATTTTTTAAAAAATCAATAAAAGAGAGACAAACACGCTAGAAGAACGCGTTAACAGCAAAGCGCTGACTGAGAACATGACGGGACCGCGGGCGGCGCGGTGGAAGCGGTCGTGCCGCTGCGGTGGGCGGCGGAAGCGCCTGTCTGATGATTAGATTTACTGTGTGGATCACGGAGGAGAGGGAGGATGACTCACTCCGTCTGATGTGAGGTTCACCCCGCAACAGCTTCGGCAGTGCGGTGGCACGCCGGCGGCTCGGGCTGACATGTCCGCTGTAATCAGGGAAAACTTTATCAAAGTCTCCAGCTGCCCCCTTTTCCGAGGCCGAACGGGGAACGGGCTTCGTTTGAAACTTGAGTGTTTCGTCACTTGGTAGTTCGAGTTTCGTGATTCACCGTTTTTCTTGATGGAAACAGTCTGCGCTGAAATTGTCCGTGTTAACTTCAGCTTCAACCTTTCCACAGGGTCGGATAAACCTGTTGGATACCTTATTATATATATTTTTTCTGATATATTCTTTTGTCTTGGCTTTACTTTTTTTTCTTTTTTCTTTTTTTTTACTGTAATTTGACAACCAATCAGGTGAGTTCTTAAATTTGTTACTGTCATAGTGCAAACGCAGTTTTTTTTTCTTTGAGTGTCTTAATAGTTCTTGTTAAAAAAAAATAAATCGCTTGATAATTTGCTAGATGTTGCATATATATTTGTATCTCTATTAGGCTATAGCCTATATAGATTTTTTGTTGACATGTTTGAATTAGAAAATTTCATTTAGAGAATTAAAAAACAGCAAGATTTAGGAAAAAAAACAAACAAAAAAAACAAAAACAAAAGTGGGGTCTGCAAAATTCTCAAATCAGAACCAATCAGTACATTGTTGTGCTAAATTATATCAAATGCAACAATCTATATGTCAAGTTCACAGGCAGAGGATTTTATGGCCCTGATGCCACGTCAAGTGATGCATTTCGGGTTGTTTTTGCGCACATGGAAAGAATCCAGCAGAGCCAATGAGTGATGCTTTGTTCAGTGGCTGTATGAGTCATATAGTCTTATCTATAAAGAAGCCAAGTGGCAGAGGAGCAGTCCTGCTGCAGGACCGAGTTGATATAACCCCTGAGATTCACTAGAGGCTGCTATGGGCCACCAGTGCCCCGGGTGGCTGCCTCCCACTGACTGTATTTGCACGGGTGGAAAACCAAATACTGACACTGAACTCACACAGTCTCTCTGTGCAGAAAGAGCTGTTCATGTGTCCGATTCGCAAACCACATGTAGGCTACGTGAAAGAATTAGACAAAATTAGCAATGGGGTAGTCGAACCATTTCCTGCAAATAAATGTAATTGAATGAATAAAAAGAAAAACAACCTATTAATAGTAACCAATGACTTTCTGTTGCCCCATACAAATATGAGACGACACAGATGACTGGATGAGGATTTATGATTTCCTTGCCAGCATGCACACTCAGCAGGAGGGTAAAACAATACCTTAAAAATCTCCAAAGCTTACTGCTCGAGAGTTACAGCTCAGAGTGGCATTTTGGTTTCACCAAGTCTCCATAAAAATCATCACACACCATCTACATGCCAAGTCGTTGCTTGGAAGTGATGCCAGAGAAGTGTGTTTTCTACCATTGTAAACATTTGTGATGGGGAAAAATCAAAACGTAGGCTCTGAAGTGGCCGATCACAGTTATTGCAAACCTTCTGTAATAAATTAAATCACTATTTGAAAAATCAATTCTGTATTTTCTCAGTTTGAAATTACAATTTGTGATTAGTGTTTTTGGTGACAAAAAAAAGCAACACCTAAGGAAATATTTGAAGGTAAAGCTAATTGTTGAGACTGCAGTGTATATTTAAAATGCTAGAAAGTATAACAAAATAGAAATTAGATTAGGATGCGAACAAGGAATTGCATCCTAATGATACAGGCATGGAGCAAAAATTTTAATCTCCCTGTATAAACTGAAATTCGACGCCACAAAAAGCAAAGGTAGTCGTTTTCTAACCCAGTTTTGTTTTATGAAAATATCAAACCATTTTTATCAGATGGTCAATGCGTGATACAAATGACAGGCATCTCTTTTCACAGGTAAGGACAATGGAGCATAAAACTGAAAAGAGGTTCCACAACCTGACCCATGAGCAAGTCGAGGCTCTCGACAAAGTGCTGACTGAGGTGATCCCGATCCACGGGCGAGGAAATTTCCCCACACTGCAGGTGAGAGCCAAAGACATAATTCGTGTGGTGAAAGATCAACTGATGGAGAGGGACATCCAGGTTAAAGATATACGCCTCAACGGAGCCACCGCCAGCCACGTCCTAGTGAGAGATAACGGCCTGGGCTACAGAGACTTGGACATCATATTCGGAGTCGAGCTGCCCAGGCAGGAGGACTTCCAGGTGATCAAGGAGGTGGTGCTGGGCAGTCTGCGGGACCTCCTCCCATGTGGAGTGAACAGACGGAAGATCACCTGCCTCACTATGAAGGAAGCATATGTGCAAAAGATGGTGAAAGTGTTCAACGAGCATGACAGATGGAGCCTGATCTTGCTCTCCAACAACAGATCCAAAACGGTGGGGCTCAGATTCGTTAGCTCGCTCCGGAGGCAGTTTGAATTCAGCGTGGACTCCTTTCAAATAATACTGGATCGCATGCTGGAGTCTTACTGGGAGAGTGACAGGAGAGAAGAAGGAAAACTGCCTTTGAATGCCAGGAATTCGTCAAAGAGGCACAGCAACAAAGACAATAACAAGATACAAGGACAATCAAGCAGTCATCAAGATGTCAAAGAGGATGCTGAAAAAGATGGAGCGATGGCAGCTAACTCAGCCCCTTCAAGCCCTGATGAAGCCGTTTCTCCATTTGAGCTGAAAGATGAAGATACGGATCATGCAGATGGAAAGTATGAGGCGAAAGGACCTGAGGGAAACAGCCTGCAGCAAGTGGAGGATGATGTGGGTGGCTGTGAGGGCGTCCATTCAGAGGAAGACATGTCAGAGGTGTTTGAGCTTTGTGAAGAAAGCACAGAACAAAAAGAACTGTTTGATGGTGATTACCCCTTGGAAGCATCATCGAAAGCTTTCTTCCCCGATGCAAGAGATCCATTAATGACACATCCATGTTTAAAACCACAGACGACTGAAGAAGTGTCCATAATAAACACTGAACCATCAACGTCTGAAGAAATTGCTCATTTTGAGACAAGTACAAAGTTAGAGGTAAACATCGTGAACTGCAAGATGGAAAACACCCCAACTCTACAAGATTCCCTCTGTGAATACTCCTTTCCTCCCCCAGCTAAAAAAACTTGCAGCACATCACAGGACATTGTGCCAGACTACTGCCCTTCTCCAAAACTGCAAAGAAAAATGTCACGGAAGCTGATCAGCCAGCCTGAAAAGTGGTCCTTACTCACCGATGTGTCAGACCTTACAACTCAGCTCTTTCCGCCAATAGAGGTAGTGAAACCTCTTCAGCCAAAACCCTCTGTATCTGAGAGCGCAGACCTTCATGACTCAAACATTTTATGTCCTGATTCAGAACATTTTGAGGGTAAGGACATGCTTACTGTTCCTTCAGACAGTCCAGAACTTACACCTCAGGAAGGTGCAGGCTCGTCTGATTCTCCAGAGCAAACAGTGAAGCCTAAACACCTCAAGAAGCCTCCTGATTTAAAGACTCAAAGAACCCCGGTTTTATCGCCTCAAGTTGATGATCAAGGTCCTAAACTTCCTGACGCTGTTCCAAATAGTACCCCATTTGTTAGCGTAGAAAGTGAGCCTGTTATCACTGTTGAGGCAGAGTGCATGTACGGAGACTTTGAGCAAGCGATGGATCACCTTCGCCAACGCCTCATTGCCACCCACAACCCAGAGGAGATCCGTGGAGGGGGACTGCTGAAGTACAGCGATCTGCTGGTGAGGAACTTCCGGCCAGCCAGCGAGACTGAAATCAAGTCCTTGGAGCGTTACATGTGCTCGCGCTTCTTCATCGACTTCCCTGACGTAAGCGAGCAGCAGCGTAAGATCGAGGCCTACTTGCAGTGCCACTTCATCGGCAGCGAGGAAGCGAGCAAGTACGACTACCTGATGACCCTGCGGCGCGTGATAGACGAAAGCACGGTGTGTTTGATGGGACATGAGAGGAGACAGACCCTCAACATGATCACCGTCCTTGCTTTGAGGGTTCTGGGGGAGCAGAACGCCATCCCCAACACGGCAAACGTCACTTGCTTTTATCAGCCGGCGCCATACGTGTCAGAGCCAATTTACAACAGCTACTACATCCCTCAAGCCCAACCGCCACTTGTCTACCACCCGTACCCTTTGCATGTTCACATGCAATCTGGCCTTGTTTAGCCAAGACGGCACACTGGCATGAAGGCATGCACTTAGCATGGCACTCTGCAATCAGAGGCATTCATGGAAGTTTTAGCAACAACAGGCAATAAAAGTTGCAGTGTTGTTTAAAGTTTTAAAATCCCTCCTGCTTACAACGGATATTGGGTGGTCAGGGCCGAGGCGGACTCAGAGGTAAACGTGCACTCGTTTTAAGAAACACGAGAGCTTGTTGAGAGGATTTTATGAAATCCGAGGAGACCTGCTGTACGGCTGGTCCAGTTCAGTTTTGGAGCACTGATTACCCTCCTGCATTGAAGGCATCATAATATGTCTACATGATAAACACCTTTAACCTATTAAGTGTAATCTGTTGCTTTTTGGCTGCAAGGATCTTGAAACCTTGGTCTGGAAAAAGTTCGAGTCAATTGGTTAATCCTGTGGGATACAAACACTGTAACTGTTTTGTGAATCGTTCGTCTGAACCACATTCAGTGATCCCATACCTGTGTACACATTGTTTAGAGATAAGTTTACTGTGGGGTTAGATTAGACAGTGGTGCTTCCATAATGTGGTAAATTATGTATCAGTGGATGTGAATTGTGAACACATCATGTGATAAAGATACAATAGCTGAAGGCAGTAAGATAATAAATAAACCAGATTTAAAAGATTTGAATAAATCGCCTCTGGTAAAGTGATGCAGCACTGAAAACCAACATGTGTTTATGAATCATTTAGATATCAATTATGTAAGTGAACTTCTTTAAATGTGAAACCCTGCTCACAAAATAAGGCGACTGTAAAAACACCTGAGTTCAGACTTCACGACATTGTGAAACAAAAGACAAAGTGTGGTGTCTGCACTGGTTTGTGTTGGGAATACTTTTTTTTTTTTTTTTTTTAGTATATAGAGTCCCACTGTGGGAGCTTGGAGGTAATTGAAGAGTCAGTCACCACTGCTGACATTCAAAGCACAAAGTTATTATTCAGGCCTTGATATCTCCAGTTGTTAAGACGGCCATGTTTTACTAAAAACGTCTAATAAAGTATCTCCTTCTGGAGTGGTACTTTTCCTGGTAAAAATCAATTGATTAAACCTGCAGAAGGCCTCTGCGCATCACCTCTGAATAAATGTCTTGGACTCTCGCTACAGTTTCTGCAGAAAAGAAAGGAAATAACAGAAGTTACAATCTATTAATTATCTAATCAAAGCGTGTATATGGCAGATTTGATATGACGACTTCTTCCATGTGCCTCTGATTATGATTGAAAAAAGCCTTTCCACTTTCATTGGGACCTTGGCTAAAGATGCATCAAAAGCTTGAAAATAATTATTTATTAGAAAAATGTAATACATTGGAAACGTTTATTTATTAAGCGTAAGACAAAAAAAATAATGTTGGCAAGGAATAATTTCTTGAACTCACAGATGCTTATCTTCAAAAATACAGAAATTATATGTCTCGATGGTCATTTCAAATCAATCAATGTAACCAGTGCTACTGCAATAAGAAAATATATACATGTTAAGGCTTTTTATTTATCTTTACAAATGCAAAGATGACTAGTGTGAAATATGTGGTGTAGGTAGAAAACTCCTGCTAATTCATCGTGTTTCAGAAATAACACCATTTAAAAACGTGCATCAGTTTCTACTCAAATATTTCACAGTTTATGAGATGAAACTATATTCAGAAATGTGTGTCGCCTGAACTTGTCGGCTGATCTTAGACTTAGCTGGGTTCGACATGATTTGATTGTGGTTGTCTTAAACTCCATCAGATTTAGGTAATTGCATCTTATTCGAGGTGAACAGGAGAGACCGCTAAGTGATGTATGAAACAGAAATACTTTCATCTTTTATGAGATTTCACTGTGAAGATTCAAACTTTGACAGAGAAAACACATGTTTATAGCTCCAGCGTTTAAAATGACGGGAAATGTGTGTAAAATTGATATATTCCTCTCAAAAGTATCAGCTGCAGTGTGGTAAAGTGTAGATAAAACACATTTTTAATGCCTTGGTTTTTTTCCATATGAAACAAGTTGATAATGTCCGATTCAGCAATTGTTCCTGAGACATTGTGATGCTTTCCAGGTTTTATGGGTCGTTTTTTTGTCACATTTTCTTTGAGCTACTGCTGCGTCTCATTCCTCTTGAGGGAAGCATCGCAGAGATTTGCTGCGCTACGAAAGTCTGAATGCATGTTTTCATTACAACGCTTGGAAGAAAATATGCCAGTTTTCTGCTGAAGTCAAATCCCTTTTTCTTTGTCATCCCAAGATGGATTTTTGCTGGGAGTGAGGCATTGCTGCGGTCATGAACATGCACTGTTTGTTTGTTTTTTCCTGCCTGCTGTCTTGTGCGAAGAAAAACAAAAACAAAAAAAGAGAAGAAAAAAAAAAGAATTAAAGTGCAGCCGTCGGTTCCTACACCATGTCTCACTGTGTGTGTGCAAAGCACTCGTGTTTAATGTTTGTGATTAACAACAAAAAAGACAAAATGAAGCAGGTAGGTACCCACACTGACACTGAAGCACAATGTAAATGCACTTAGGTATTGTTGAGTATTGACAGTGTTTGCCATGCGTGTGATCCTCCAGCTCACTATTGATAATGACAGTGCGTGTAAGTTGTCCCCCTTGTAGCTTCGATATGGTCGTATTTATCTTTGGGGTTCGTTATATGTGTCGTTGAGAGAAACTCTTCTTGCAGTAAAGGCACTCAGATATTCCTGTTATGAAATCTAGACGCTCAAATTGTTGTCATTGTGTTAATAAATGTAACACAACTGCTCCGTGTCTGTTGTCTTCTCTCAGCGGAACGAGTTTGGCCAACTGTTTTATTTCCTCAGGCTTGGAGGTTTGTTGTTTGGGTAAGCATCGTAATCTGCAACAGCCCTGCATTGGGGAAGCTCAGGTACTTTGCAGCATGTTCAGATGAACTGCAGGACATGTTACAGACAGATAAACGGGGGCGCTCCTAGAGCAGGCAAAGAAAAATGAATTAATACATCAAATATTTATTATTTATTGGGTTTTTATTGTAGAAGGTGACACTATGTGCATTTGTAGTCATTCCACTGCATGTTATATCCAACACATACAGTTCCAATCAATAGATTTGATATTTTAATGGTGAATTTGGACCTTTTTTAAATAGAGACTAAACAATGGTTAAAAAAAACTGAATTGGATGCACAAGTTTGATTTGATCAAGTCAATAATCTTTAATATATTTCTGGCTAAATGTATGGCCACTCTCAATCTGTGAAACAGTGAATTTCCATCTTCAATTTGGTGAAACAGAGCCCTCAGCATCATGCTTCCACCACCAATCATATTTGCTGAAGCGATTTTTTTGGGGGGTTTAAAATTCTCCCATGAACTGCTCCAAAATACCTGAGATGTTGCTGAAAACCTTTTCTACATGAGGCTAAATCAAAACTTATTCACCCAAGTAGTCTTGTTTGTTGTACGTATATTTATGGACGATGAAATGTTCGAATTACTGAAAGCCCTATATTATTAATGAGTGACTGTGTGCTGGTCACTATGTTAGGTCTGATAAATCACCAGTTTCTGCAACTGAATTCATAAAAAAAAATACTTTTCATGAATAATTTGCCAGATGTTCAACATCTGCTGCATTTTTAAGTAACATTAAAAACTCCTCTTGTTGAAATTAAAGGTCAGCCTTTCTGTTGACATGTTCCTCCAGACAGATCTGCACTCTGACCTTTGTTGATGTACGAATCCATGCTTATTCCAATTACCTCCCAGCTCTGCTAGGCGTGGCGGCTCAAAGTGCGTCACAGCGTAAATTTGTTTATTCCTCGGCTGACTCAGCCTCTGCTTCCAGAGCTTTAACGCTGCCACAAAGAGTACATTCAAGTTGATCCGTTTGCGTCATAGTAAAACTGACAGTGTTTTTTTTTTTTTGTTACTTTTCTTCCAGCACTCCAGTAGATTTTCAATTGTAGAAGCAACAGATGAGTCAACCTGAGCGACGCTGAACTTCTCCTTCGAGCTTCAGCTGGGCTTGCACACACATCTCGGATCGATACCATAAAAATCCTGGACTAAGCAATGATCGAGACCTCCTTTAGGAAATTCAACAGTTTTATTTAAAAACCAAAAAAAAAAAAAAAAAAAACAACCCCAAAATAAAACACATACAATCAAAACATTCATAAAAAATATCGTCATGTAAGCCTTTTTGTTTCCACCTAGAGCAGAACGTTGTATTCGTCATCATCTCATCTGATGCTTGGAGGCAACGCTAAGCTCCACCTCTCAAAAAGAAGCGACTCAAAAGTCAGAATCATCTCGCGGTCCACCAAAACAATCTCAAAAACACGAGTTAATGCTGCCGCCGGAGACGCCCGACGTGTCGATGTGAATTTGTGTTTGATTTCGAAGCGACCTGACGAGAACAAAGCGCCCCGCTCTCACTCACAACCGCGCGTCGAGGGCTGAGGAAGCGTGTTTGGATTTACGCACCCCGTGCTGAAAGGAGAGCCCGAGTCATCTCTTCCAGATCTCTCCTGACTGGACTCTGCTTTAAAGGCTGCGAGCATGTAAACATCGAAGCAAAAAGAAACCAACAAAAACAAGGAGGAATAATCGAGGTGATCTTAGACCGTAAACAAAATCTAAGCCACGCCGATTGGAATTCTGAAAAATAATCATAAAAACAAAATCCAAATTAGATCAGAAAAAAAAAATTCAATCGTCCTCAAGTTGCAAAACAATTATAGTAAAGTCTTATTAAACTGTTCACTTAAAATAAAAATTAAAAATTTGCTGGCACAGTTTAACACAAATATGAGGTTTTATGTCGAATTTCTCTCTTTATTACTCAGCTGCCACGAGGAGTAGGTAAATGTGCAAATATCTGTTCCTTATCACTAGTAACATAGCAAACAAAATTAAACAAGAGTAATAAAATAGCAAAAAAAAAAAAGCAAAAACAAAATAAATATTTACGTGGAAGAGTTGTGAAGGACCCATCTGCTTTGGCAGAAGGAGCAACGTCTAGACGCAGCGCACACCAATAAAGGATGGAGTGGTTTTTTTCACACAAATCAGGAAATAAAAGGAATAAAAATAAAAGGTATTTTCCTAAAAGAAAAACTTAAGATATTTCACGCAATAACGGACCATAAAAAATGTGGTGCTCAAAGAAAAAAAAAAAAAGTAGGGGAAAATAAAAAAACATTCAACAGTCACAGATCGTGGACACAAAGGTGAAATTTCCTACTAATTATTTCCAGGTATTGCTTGACCCCTAAAAGCTGCAAACCATGTGCTCAAAAAAAAAAAAAAAAAAAAAAAAAAAAAAGAGATCAGATGATGAGACACATTATAAGGGTTCCTACACATTTCCCCATCTAAAAAAAATTCCACAATTTCCAAATTCAGATTTCAATTCATGTTTTAAAAGATGAAAAGAAAATAATTTGAACTTATGGTACCGACCTTTTCACATGGAGAAGGATTTACAAAAAAAACCTTTGAAAATAATCGCCTCAATTATTTTCAAAGGAAGGACAGAAAAAAGAGGGATAGGAGAAATAAGAGGAAAGATATAAGGGAGGAAGGACACAAAGACGAAACATGGGAAGGATACAAGGGAGAAAAGAAGTAAGGATACAAACAAGGAAGGAAGGGCACAAGGTAGAAAGGTAGAAAAATTAAGGAAGGAAAGACAAGATATGAAGTAGAGAACAATGGAAAGGGAAACAACTTTAAAATATTTTTTAATAAAGATTTCTTCCTTTCGTTTTCTGTTTTCATCCCATTCCAATACCTGGAGAATACTTTAAAAAGATTCCAGACTTTTCCAGACTGTGTAGGAACCCTGGACCACGTTGGCGCCTCGTGTCGTCAGCGCGTGAACGAGTGACTGCTGCTGGATCGCTCTCCGTCGAACACGACAAGTCAAACAGTACGAGCACCGTGTATTTGGCATCTTCACATCGTTCTTTGGTGAACAGTAGGTGAAGAGGTGTGAGGGGCGACGAAGAGATCGCCTAGTGTTTCAGCTCCGAACATGACGAAGAGGAGGAAGAGGAGCAGGAGAGCAGTAAGGCTGAAGGTGAGTTAGTCCAGCTGTGGGAGGGTCTGTGTTGAACACTAGCTCTGTTATCCAGGGAGCAAAAATCCGTGGCAACAGTAAATGAGCACCAGCGAGTCCAGATAAACAGAACCATAGATATTTATATAGTATATACACACACCTGTACAAAAAAAAGAAACGAAAAAGAAAAAAAATCCCTGATGTTTTCCTGGCGTTGAAGAGTTTGTGTTGACTGAGGTCTGAGGAGGTGCGAGGCGGTCAGTGACCCCAGCCCATGAGGTGGCTGACCCGGGCCTTCTCGGTCATGCGCCGCACCCGTCCTGAGCGGGACATGCCCAGGTTGAGCGGGTCGTCCTTTGACCCCTGGCCGTCGTCGTCCGACTCGTCCCTGTAGACGACCGTCCTGCGGCCCTGGTTCCGTGTGCTGACACGCCCGGGTTTACCCAGGCCGCCTCTATGACCCCTAGCTGCTGCTGCTGCTGATGCTGCTACTCTCTGTACCTCAGAGACTTCACCTTCCTCTTCTTCCTCTTCCTCCTCAGGTTCTTCCTCCTCAGGCTCCTCTTCATCTTCTTCCTCAACATGTCTTACGTTCTCCTGTTGGTGTGGCTGGTTCTCTTCCTCCCCTTCTTCTTCTTCCTCCTCCTCCTCTTCTTCTTTTTCACCTTCCTCCTCCTCGTCCTCGTCCTCATCCTCCTCTTCCTCCTCCTTCGCAGGAAGCTGCACCCGTGCTCGTTTAGTCCTCTGGGCCACGTCCTGCCCTCCCATCAGTTTCCGTTTCCCTGAGGGCGCCAGCTTTCCCTTCGCCGAGAGGCGCACCGACAGACACGGGGCTTTGCTGTAGTCGTGATCGCCCCCGCCCTCCGCGTACTTCTCCACCTCGGAGTCTGAGCTGCTCTCGCTGTCGGACGAAGAGGAGGATGAGGAGGACGAGGAAGTGGAGGAGGACTCCGAGGAGGAGCTGTTGGAGCCGGAGCCCTGCTCCTCGTCATCGTCGTCAGACTCCAGCGGTTCCTGACCGCGCTGCAGCTGCTGTCTGGAGCCGTTACTCAGATGCAGCTTTCGGTGGTACCCTAAAGCGACAGCCAGGAGGCCAAAGGTCAATCCCGCACCGCAACGTTCATTTGACACGAAGCTGAAAAGAATGACGGCTCTCAACCCAAATGCTCGTCGTACCTGATTTCTTCACAGGAGTTGCTTGGCTGCGGGTCAGGTGTTGAGGCCCTTCGTTTGTTCTCTCAGAGCTTTCTTCTGAACTTGAAGAAGGCGAGGACTCCTCTTCCTCTGCTACACTGCTGCTGTGCTGAACTGAACAAGGACAATTACCAACTATTAGTAAATGCACATGGAAGCACTTAACAATAATATTCTCACATTACAACCAGAAATTAAGGTATTCTGAGGTGTAAAGTGACAGGTTAGATTAATTAATAGATTAACGAATGAGTTAATCTAAAGGTGACTGACCTCACTGATTACTTAATGATTCGTTGATAGGCATTTATTTTCTTAAAAACTTTAATTTTCTCTTGTATCACTCCATTAAATAAAGTGCTACATTTTTCATAATATGCTGAATTAAAGCAACAAAAACAATTGAAACTTCAAAGTAATTTCATGTCAGCTGTATTGCATACTGACTAATTAAACAGAAAACTGTGGTAGTTTTCTCACATTATTAAACTTGGATGTATAGCATGACAAAAGAACCAC